CTGGCCATCGGCAGAGGGCGAGCAGCGGGGAAGGAAGGGAGACGCTGCTCAGCCCAGCACTGCTGCACCGATCTGCTGCCACCCTGCTCTCCTCACCCTAAGCAAGGACCATCTCACCAACACCCCGAGAGCTCCCAGACGTCCAGCTCAGGGTCATCCTGCAAAGCTTTTCATAGCGAGGTGCTCCTTCGGCACCTTCTCACCCCCTCATCGCTGATGCGGAACGTGGCATCAGCCCCTGCCTGCCTCCTTGCTGCTCCCAGCTGTGCAAGATGCAGCAGTTCCTCCTCTGAGCTCCTCCTGCAGCAGAGCCCCCCCGAGCCCCCCTTTGCAGCGAGCACGGCCAAGGCAGCAGCAGGCACACATGTAGATTCCCGCAGCGCTCAAGCCCTTTGTTGTATTTCCACTGTGCGTTAAGGGCCGCGCTGCTTCTCCTTTGGTGGCAGGGGAAAATCACTCGGGAGAGCGAAGGACGCGAGAGCATCAGCTCGCTGGGAGCTGAGCCTGACCTCAGCCCAGCATCCAGCCCGGCCACCTCCCCCTTTGCAGCAGGGAGAGCTGCGAAGGAGCCACGCTCAGCTCAGGAACTGTTTTGCTGGCAAAAGGCTGGGCATTTCTGGGCCCAGCTGTGCAACAGCTGGAGTTCGAGATGTTCACTTTGCGGTAGGGTGCCAAAGCGGCCGCTGCACCCCCTTGCCAGGCAGCCTGAACCCCAGGAGCACCCATACCCCTGCGAGCGAAGCATCCGTGGGGTTTGAGCAGTGCTGTTCATGTGTGGCTGCGTGCGTCTGGCTCCTGGCTCCCTCCCTGCGACTGGCCCCGGGGCTCTCCGGTAAGAGCTGAGAGCAGCAGCAGATGCCACCACCACCCCCCCAGTCCCCCTGCTCTTCCCTTCAGTAACTGGACAGACACACCGCCGCGTCTGTCCTTCCTCCTGCGCAATGCTTCAGCTTGCAAAAAAGGCCCCTCCAGCCCGAGTGGGAGAGCAGTTCTTAACTCTCCACTCCGTGCAAGCGGACACAGGTAGTTCTCCATCTCCAGCCCCCTTCGCTGCCAGGCTGGGGGAGAGCCTCCTGCAGGCACAAGATCTCAAGGAGGTGCTGCCTTGAGCTCAGAAAGGGAAGAGGCTGCAGCTGGGTGGAAGGCTGGGGTGGTGCGGGAGTTTTCCTGGATCGATGTAACCCCTGTGAGACCACTTTGCACATTAACTCTCTTTTCAGATGTAAATAAACGTTTATTTTTCAGCAAGCGGAGCGTGCTGCTTCTGTCTGCTCTGAGGGAGAGAAGCAGCTCTCAGGCTGCACGCACGAGGGTACGGAGTTGCACTCGAGCACAGGCCCGCCCAGTTACAGGGGTGTTAAACAGGTACCCAGACCCCTGGCTCAACATAGCACTGTGTTCCCCTCCCTAGGATTACAGAGAGGAAGGTAGCAAAATAAAACACCCAACATGGTGATAAATAATACAAACAGCAACCCCAATCACACACCAGCTCCCATATTGACACAGCCATCAACGCACAGACCAAGAAGGCAGGAAGCTTCTCCAGGACAGGAGGGGGATTGCTGTCTGGATTCCCCTCTGCTCTTTGCTGGCAGCCTAGCACCAGGGAGGGTGCATGCTATGAGAGGCCACCATGCCTTGGGAGGAGAAAGCTGGCCCTCTGCTCCAGCCCTGAGCTAGTCTCCCTGATGAGCACAGGCCCCTGTGCTTCTAGGTACTCTCTGAAGCGCTCCTGTGTGCGAGGTGGAGCTGGGAAGAGACAAGTAACAGTTCTCCACACCCAGGACCTTGAATGGGAGCATGGCAGGGGGCTGTTTCCAGTTCTCTCGTGGCAGTCTCAGAAGTGCACAGGGGGACAGAAAGCCCTGGCTGCACTGGCCCACAGCTGGGCTGCTGGAGGACACAACAGGACTGAGGGAGGGCAGGGATCAGAGTGACTCTGCTCCATGCCCACAGTCCAAACCAAGCCAGCTTTGTGTTGAGATACACCAAGAGCTTTAGTTTTGACCAGAAAGAGATGCTCATGCTGCCCTATTTAAAACTCTTTTGATAGCTGCTGAATTGTGTCCCCTCACGTGCCCAGTGACAGATCAGAGGTTGGCTGAAGGTTTACCAGAGCACAGTCACACCCACAGCTCACTGCCAGAGCTGGGCACAAGATCAGTACTTCATCCTGAGAGCAAAATCCCAGCACCTAACTCAACAAGGCCTAAACTCGTTTCTAAATTACTGCAGAGACATGTTTTTGTCATGCAGCAAGGACCTTTGGAGAGCAATGCCCAGGCAGATGGGAAAGAGCTGAACCCCAAGAGGAGCACAGACTTTGTTACTCATGTATGCTCTTCCTCCGCAGTCCTGGCTCTGCCTGACCCCACGAGTTCCCACAGCACCTGCCCAACTAGTGCTGCAAGGGTGTTTCTTCCCCCAGGAGCCAGGCAGGGTGGGGAAGGTGGGGGTAAGGTAGCCCCACAGCCCTCAGCCTTTGACCACCTGGGAGAGAGAGTAGGAAAGCACTGCATGCATTCCCCATTGTCCTGAAATAAATCAGTGAGGTTATGTATGATTTTACAACCCAGCTCCCTCCAGAGAAATCCACATACCAGAACCAGGTTTTCAGTTTTTATTAGTTTATCCAAGTCAGTAAATAGGATTTTATTCAGCCAGCTTGCCTCAGGGTAGCACCAGACACCCCACTGCCTGCACAGCCACCCTTTCAGCAATGAAGGTCATTTAAAGTCCTCTCTTTAAGGGATTGCCTCCCCAAGGAAACACTATTCTATAAAACCCTCTGCCTGATATGCCCCTTAGGTTACTCTAGCAGCCCTTTAGGCCTTTACATCTGGCCTCCTGAAGCACCTTTCCTGTGGGAATCTCCTTTTCCTTCACACATACACTGCTGCATCTCTCAGCTACCCCTTCTCCCAGGCCCCCAAACATTACAATGGACTGGAGGCACCATCTTACCCTCTTCAAAGACCCTTTTCTTCCATCCCACATCCTAGGAAAACCAGCCCCAAGTGTATGTAGCCTCTCCTTCCACCCACTCACTTTCCTGCCTACTCAGCTCTGAAGGGAATGTTGAGCCAGGGCTTCCCTTGCTCTCCACCTGCTCCTACGCCCTTTCACTGGGGTTGTGGGGTGGGTTTTTTTTTTTCTTCTGTGAAAACTGTTCCCCTTTCCCCACAGACATCTTGCTTTAAATTCAAATCTGGGCTTCCAAGGGACACAGCCCTGACAACTGTGCACTAGTGCAGCCCGAGACACTGCCAAGGCCGGGCAGAGGGCAGCGCAAAGGGCCTTGGCACTCCCTCCCATTCCTCCAGCAGCAGGGAATGACAAAGCCCAAAATACTCTTCCCAGACCAGCTGCAATACTCCGAGAAGCTTTCAGGGATGCTGGCTTAGAATTGGCTCCACCCTATCACAACTAATTCTTCAGGGTGAGCTCTCCAGCAGCCTTGTCCCACTGCCTGCTGCGCAGCTAGCGCCAGCCGCCCATGTGCGTGCACCCACACCGTTTGCTACAGGTGAAGCAGCAGTGTGGCACGGGAAGGGTTAAACACGAGCAGAAAGCAGCACCCCACAGCTGAGCACACCTACAGGCTGCCAGCAGGGCAGGTTCACATCAGAGTGGGACATATCTGCCTCGGTGCCCCAAGACTGCCCCCAGAAGGACAGATACACAGTGGGACAGTCAAACTAGATGTCATCAAACGCAGACCTGCTTTCAAGCCTGCCTGAAGGGTCTTGGGCAGCTGATCAGAAGGGGTGACCAGCTCAAAGGATGGAGAATGGATTTTTCTATTTTGGCATCTGTGATCAAGGTTCAAAACTCAGAAGGGACATAGAGTTTCTTCCTCTTCCCAAAGAGACTTCTCCAGACTCATCAAGGATGCTCACAGACTTCAGGTCTCTAGTGTGTGTCCCCCCCCAAGACTCAGCAATACACAGGAACAGTCACTGGAAACCATTTTACACCAACATCACCACCACCAGAGCCCTTGTGGCTGCTCACCCAGCTCCAGGAGATGGGGTAGTCTCTCTCTGGGGGGAAGCAGCCTCTTCCCCTACCACTGGTCCGCCCTCTGAAATTGCCCACACCACCGACACAAGAATGCCTCAGCAGAACTATTTCCAAACACCAAAGCCTGGAAATCAAAGGCAGGCAGTGGTTGAGGACCAAAGCTTCGCACCACAGCTGCATCTGGGATGTGATTTCTTTTGCCCATCTCCCATGTGGGAGAGATCTATCCCTCAGTTCTTGTTCTGCTTGCCTGGGCACTCTGCAGCTTGCAGAGGCCCAGGAGACTCAGTCTCAAGCTCTTCGTTCTCTCTCATGTTCTTCCAGGGGAAGATCTGCCTTGCAACCGCTGTCAGCATTGGGATCTTGGCACTGACAAACCAAACCAGAGTCTCCGCCATCAGCATTTGCCACAAAAGTGAGTTCTTTGGGATTGAATAACATGACCACGAACAACCACTAAGGAAGGAAAGAATCTGAACTGCTCCAGGGCAGGCTGGTTGGAGGGAAAGGCTTTGAAGCAGAGACCCAGGAGAGCAGTGCAGCAGACATTCCAGCTAGAGCCTAGGGCTGCACGAGCTTCCCTGCAGCTCAGTGAGCCAAACATTACAAACTCTACTCACTTTACCCATCCACAACAAACCTGCCTGCCTTACTGCCCCAGATCCATTTCCTGGGTCTGTGCCCACCCATGTGGCATAGAAGGAGCCAGGGCAAGTGCCAGAGGCCTTGGGGAGGACGGGATGCAGAAAAGGATAAGGAATTAATTGCTGTGGGTAACTGTCAACTTTCTAACACCACACAGACCTGAATGACAATGACTGCAGGAAGCTTAAGGTAGATAAAACTTCCGGGCTCAGTGCTTCTCCTCTTAAGCTAACCTTTTGGGATGAACAGCAGCGATCCTGGGAACCCAGGCAACAATCAGGCCCAAAGAGCTGCTGGGTTGTCACCTTCTGCTGTCCCTCATTCTCCCAGGCATGCTCTGATGGCTGAAGACCTTCTTCCACCCGTCTCCCAGCTGCTGTGGCACTCTCGGCAGAGCTGCGGCGCTGCCAGCGCGGCCCTCGCGCTCATTCTCCCAAGCACACTCAGCTTCCGGGTGGAACAGTCACCCGACGTCAGTATTCCTACAGCCACCAGGAGCAAAAAAAGGACAGTCAGCCTTTCAGTGGGAAAGAGAGACAAGGGGACTAAGGATTTTCCAAAGGGAAAAACAAACTGGAAGGACTCAAGCCCACCTCACCGTGCAGGCTATGAGCATGGACTGGGCACACGCAGCAAAGGGCTGTTACCGGCTGCGAGGAACAATGTCCCCCTCAATGCCACAGCCCTCTGTGACTGTCATTGGTTCCCACTCACCCTCCTGCTTCGTTATGGCTCTAGCCAGCTCTGCCCGCTCTGCCCTGGGGCTTGGAGCCTTTGGAGGTTTTGAGTCACAGTCTGCAGAGCTTTTCCTGAGGACAATCCAAAAGGAAAAAAAAATCCGTGTTAGGAGCAGGCCAGCAAGCAGTAAAGAACAGGCCGCAGGCTGCATTCAGCCACTGCCTTCTCCCTGCAGCTTCCAGTGCCCCAAACCCAGGAGTGTCTCTCTCTCTCACTGCCTGTTGCTGGGACAAGTTGCTGTCATCAGGAAACCAGGACACAGGCTTTGGGAACCACTTCACAAGCAGCTCCGACCACTGAGCAGGAGATGCAGGGGGACATACGCCCCCTCCTCTCAGCCTGGAGAGTTCTCTGTCAGCAAAGAATGAGGTAGAGCCCAAGATCTGCAGTGACAGTAAGTGCAAGAAAATGCCAGGGCCAACTTTAAAGCCTGGAGACTTCCCTGAGTGAGGGGGATCATTAGGTCCCTCCAACCTACCACTGCTAAATCATCAAAAATCTGCCCAGCCATGCCTCCTCTCCGGCACAACAGTCACTTCATGTGCCCACAGTCCTCCCCCCCCACCTTACCCATTTCTCCCACACACTCCTCTAGGACAGCTGACAGCTCAGGCAAACTTAGAGACTTCAAGGAAGGTGGCCATCCTTCCAGCACTGCAAGAAAGAGGAACATTTAATCAATCTGCATGCTCTTTGTGACAGCGCAGAGACAAGGGTTTGGTGCTGCTGTGAAGCATCCACACCCAAAGCAGCTCTAGTGAAGGGTTCTGAGTCACATGGGAAGAGAAAAGGAATTGCCTGTGACAAACTCAGGGTTTTTTCTGGCAATTCTGCCATTTAAGAATTTATGTATTTATTTTTACACTGGCTGGGTCATATATTAATAGAAATCTCAAAGAGATTAAGTGCAGCAGTGAAGGGTTAAACAACAGAAATCAACAGGATCTCTCCTTGTCTCACTTTTAAAACAGAAGCAGCACAGAGCACATCTCCGGCAGTGCATCATGGGCGGCAGGATCATTTGCTGACCCTTGGGGTAAGGAGCTGTGGGCCCAGCCCGCTCAGCCGCATACAGCAGTTTGCCCCAGGGCCCAAACAGCACAATCCCCCAGACTGGGTCAGACCCCAACCACCATTTCCGATTCAGACCCCGCTCGAGTGCACGGTGTGGTAACACACCCGAGGCGCCCACACGCTGCAGCGCAGGAAGGGGAAGCCACAGGCCCGTCAAGCAGGGCTGCCACTGGGTGCCTGGGCTACAGCTTTGCATTTTTAGCCGCAAACACCTGCCAGACCCCCAAACTTCCCCTCGCTAAGAGTCAAAAGTTGCTGAGAAACGCTGCTGCAGTTAGAGTCCAAATGCCCCAAGTGCTTTAAATGCTTCCCCCAGCAAGAATCTTTACATTAAGTTTAAGGGTTTGGCTGCTCATCCATCTCCAAATCACTTCTAACTTCAGCCTTTCAGCAATAAAAGACAAGCCCATGGCTTGCTCAGCGGTGCCCTGCTGTTCACCCACCCCTTGCCCCCGGGTAGTGGGATAAGCTCTTCCTCACCCGGACGCTCTCCAGGCCGCCGGCTCTCACCGGGTCCCAGCTGCCCCTTTGTGTCCAGCACTCTGCCGACCGCCTGCCCTTGGGTGAGCCGGGAGGACAGCTCTGCTTGACAGGATCTGCCAAACAAGACAGAGCCCATCAGAGGTGCACAGGGACACTTCTTGGAACAACATGCCAGTCTGTGCACTCCTACATCCTGCCAGTACCTGCTTGGGGTGCCGAGGGAGCGCATCTAACGCCCTGGGTTACAAACTGCTCCTTGTTCCTTCCCAGGAAGAGGAAGACGTGCCCCAGCCAAAGCTCAGGGCGCTCTCCACTGTGCCCCATCTCCACAGCAATCTCTGCCCCTGTCCACAGAGGAGCTGCGGGGGGAGAAGAGAAGGAGGGGGCGGGGTGAGCAGGAGAAAGCCCAAGCCAGGGGCTGTGCCTGGTTTACACGAGAATCAAGCCTGATCCAAGGTTTCTAGTGGGCAAGTGAAGCCACCCTGGGACCCAGGCATCAGGTTAAAGCAAGAGAGGCACACAAAGTTCTCTGGCTATCATCATCACACCCTCAGCTCAAACAGTGCATGGCAGGGCCCTTCTACCAGGCAGCCTCAGCTCCTCAGCTGGGAATATTGCTCTGCTATCCTTCTCAAAGCCAGTCCCAGTTCACCCTGGCTTTGTAGCGAGCAGACACCGTTCCCTGCTGGGCTAGGATCTGCAAGCAGTAGGTTTAATGCCACCTTCAAGAACACGTCTGTTCTACCAGTGGACAAAACAGGGCCCATGTCAGGAGCTCAACGGGGGCAGGGAGAAGAGCACCACAAAGGTAACAAAAGGTCTATTAGGAGGTGGGGGAAGACAGAACTCAGAGGCAGGGTGTGAATGAACTGGGCGGGTTTTTCTGCGAGGTGACAAGAGTTGCAAGAAGTATTTTTCACTAGCCAGGGCAAGACACTGCAAGTTTGGAAATTAGAAACTCCTTCCTACATTCAGCCAATCACTCAGTCATACCCTGGTCACTGGGTCTCACATAAGCACAAAGCACTTCGCCTTTTGATTCCTTCTAGTTGCCAAAAGAGCACCCAGCACCTCGAAGAAGTCAGGTCATTTACAGCTCATGCACCCGAGTAAGGCCTCACATCTGCTCGTGAGGCTGTGGCTTTCCACTTTTCCAGGCAGGATCCAAAACAGGTTCAGATGCCTGGTGAGCTCTCCTGCCCTACCCTAAGCATCAACTGTAAGACTGCCAATACAACCACAGCCCAAATCCCATTTCCAAGTAGCCTCAGTGCCATTTCCTGGGAATGACTTACTTGATCTGATCCAGCAGGACTCCAGCATCCTTGGTGATGGCCTGAACCTCTCTGAGCTGACACTGGATTGCATTCCAGGTCTCATCCCGCTCCATCAAACAGCTCTCAGCCACTGCACGCAGCTTCTGCTCCTGGCACACCTGGCCCTTCATCACCTCCACCTCTTCACACCTCTAGAGCGGGGCAGAATGGAGGATTAGGCTGGGAGTACCATACACCACTGTCACACGTGCCTGCTCTGACACATCCCTGGAGCCCCTGCTATTTTAATGGCTTCGGCAGCCAGAGGGCTTCTGCAAAAGCGCGCCCAACCCAGTGGGAAAGGAAGCTGCATAAGGCTTGTACACTGAACACAGTTTCTCTCCACACCAAGACCAGCCCCACAGTTAAAATTCCCCCTTCCTCTCTATTTGCAAAGATACTCAGTAGGTCAAATTGCCCAAATCAACACAAGTCTGTTCGCTAATGGCTACGCGACTTCAGCATAAAAGTGACACTACTGGAAAAGAGCAGGTATTCAGTTCACCTGCCCTTTTAGTTCTCGGGTAGATGGGAAACAGGCATAAAGGCTTCACAAGCATGGAGCACAGAGGATGAGGAGTGGATAAGCTGCACTTACGCTGTTGCCCAACTAATTGACACCAAGTGTGTCAAGGAAAGCGTGTGAAGCTTATGCCTTTTCCTTTATCCCAGGCCATTAGAGGCACAACATAAAAATATGCTACCCATTGCTTATGGCAGTGTGGTAAGCCACTGAGCAGCTCATGGCAGACTTCTTACCTTGTGCAGCTGAATGGCCAGCTCCTGCATCTCCGCCTCCAGCCGATCCGCATAGGCCAGCTCCAGGGCATCGCTGGGCGGCCGAGCATTGCTGTGCCATCGGGCAATGGCGGAGGTCATCTTCCTCTTCGGCCCAAACAGACTGGTGGGGAGAAGGGCAAACTGTCAGGGACCAAACACAGCCCCATCTGTCCCTAGGCCCAGTGGGATGCCACAAGGACTTCTGCAGTGTCCTGGTTCCTCCAAGGCACCTCTAAAACAGGAGCCTGTTACAGCCAAGAACTAGGGGATACCAAAATTGTGTGCAAGACAGCCAGAACAGAAACACACTCACTAGCTAAACTCTCCTGACCAGGCTATGTGCACGGCTTGTAAGGGGAAAGATGATAACTGTCACAGACACTCACGTGATGCCGATTTCCTTCAGATCACTCTCTGTGAGGGTCAGGAAGATCCGGAGGTCAACATCTTGCTCCTCAAACACTTGCAGATACTTCAGGCACCCAATCTGGTCAAGGAACGTTGCCAGGTCCTGCAGCCCATCCGAAACAAACTTATTCATATCCTCACAAACAAAAGCATTACCATTCCTCTTAGTCATAAACATCTGCTTCCTCATGGTGCTGTTAGGCCTTCCTGAGTTCTAGCAGCAACCGTGACTCCCCCTGGTTAACTGCCCTTCTCCCCAGTCAGACAACACAAATGGACTAGCCTATCTGCTGTAGCTGTTGCCTCTTGTAACGAATGCAGAGAAGACAGACACACCAACACCTACCCTAGCCCACACCACAGCTGTGTTTGGTAGCACACCCACAGGCCTGAGGGGTCTAGAATACCCCTCCAAGCAACAGCAACACTTAAGCATGAGAAATTGCTGTTTCCCAAGCATTTAAGTTTGGGCAGAGGTTTGGAATCAAAGGTGTTTTGGTGACAACTTTCCTTTTATTTGAGAAAGCCAAGAAAAGCAGCTTAGGCAACCTTAGAAAAAGCTCGCACTCTTGATACAGAGACAGTCTGAATTACTTCAGAGACAACTTGCCATGTGTCATTACCTGGGGCCCTGTATAGGCAGGGGGCTCAGGAAGGATTAGGTGCTGACTAGAGCCCCCAGCTTTCCCTGGGCAGTGGGTCCACTGGCTATCACTGTTGCTGTAGCGGTTCTTGACCTTGAAGCTCTTGGCTTGTTTCCGACTAGGGGGACTGTTGGCATGGTCAGAATCCTGAAAAAGAAAGAAAAACAAACAAACAAGTCACACAAAATGTAAAGGTCAGGGATGATGATTACAACAATGTCAGGATCACTACAGCTAACAAGTGCAGACTCCTTCAGGTCCCCAGCTCTAAATCCAGGCAGTGGTCCACAAACCCAGGCAACAGAGACTAACAAAGCCCTTATTAGGAAGGGCAGAGTCAAGTCACTCCCTAGATGGCAGCTTGGTACCATGGGATGGTATCAGGCTCTGGTAGTCCTAGCTTAGGAAGCAACATGCCAGAGCAAAGAGCAACGCTGAATCCTCCCTGAACCAATACAATGCACTGAGATTCTACCTGTGAGAAGCTCCTCAAAATACAGACTTTTGCTCAGGTTCAGCTACATCACCCTTCTGTACATCAGCCCCACAGAGCTACACCCTGAACCATGCAAGCTGCGACTCAAACCATGGCATAATCTCCAACCTCCTCCCCTTTCTGCACTTCAGAAATACCAGTACAGCACCGCTGTGCTGTTCTAAACCTTACCATGCTGCCTGCTACCTCGCCAAGCCCAAGGACTGACCCAGCTCTAGCAAGTCACATCCTTTCTTCACCACCATCTAGCTAGAAGTTTGCAAAGAGTTCAGAAGCTGAAGAGAACTTAAAAATTACTGGTTGGCCATCAACAACCTACTCTAGAGTGAATGTGCTCTGAGAGTTGGCTGCTAGCTGGAAATCAATCCATAACCTTCAAATATGGAAATTGGTTTTCCTGTCCCTGTTTTCACATCTGTCCCTCTGTTTTCTTGTCCCTACCTTTCCTCACCCAGCCTGGTACTGCAGCCTCCTGTGGAGGTAGAGTCCTAGCAGGCTGTGGAAGGGTGACAGCACTAGCCAAGCTGAGGGCAGAGAATGAAAATTAAAACCCCTACCTCATTGCTTTCCAAGGAGCCTTCACTGCTGACTCCCGGGGCTTTGGTCAGGCATTCACTGCTGCTACTGCTGCTCCTGATGGTTGCTAAGTTGTTGGTGAAGAATACATTATCCTCTGGAAAGGAATATGACAAAAAAGAGGGCTGAGGTTCAACTTCCTTATGCTCAGCGCTGGTTTTGCTACACAGTTACCAGCAAAACCTGCTGGAGGTGTAAGAAGGAGAAACCTAGACCAAGGCTTCATATGCAGCACTCATGACAAGATGATTCACAGACAGAAATAGCCTGTGTCTGATCCCAGGCACTAATCTTTCTCCAAGTGTTTAGTACCACGGAGAACAGGAAGGCTGAGAGTGTGTGTTTGTGAGGCTCTTGGTTATGGGGTGGAAAAGCAGGTTATTAGTACCAAGCCTGCACTCCTGTTAAAGTTCAGGAAGGGCCTTTGAGTCCAGAGCCAATGCAGCACCACATCATCCTTTATTAAAGCAGGAACTGCCCACAGACCCTTCCTTCGTGCTGCTTCACTGAATCAGAACCATGAGGTTGAAGGCACCTCTGAAGGTCACTTTGTCCAAACCCCTGCTCAAACAGGGTCACCTACAGCAGGTTGCCCAGGACCATGTCCATGAGTATCTCCAAGGATGGAGACTCCACAACCTCTCTGACATCCTACTCCACTATGTGGTCACCCTCACAGTGGGGGGAAAAAAAAAAGGCAAAACATTTCCTTATGTTCAGAGGGAGCCTCCTGTCTTTCAGTTTGCAGCCATTGCCTCTTGTCCTTCACTGGACAACCGAAAACAGCCTTGCTCCGTCTTCTTTACACCCTCCCTTCAGATTTATACAAATTGATGAGATCCCCACTTGAACTATCTCTTCTGTAGGCTAAACCATCCCACTCAGCCTTTCCTCATAAGATACTCCAATCCTTAACATCTTAGTGGGAAAGGAACACGCAAGCCAAGGGGTTGGTCTCACATCCAGGTGTGCACTGCAAGCCAGACTATTTTCTGGGACAGTGACTTACCTCTGCTGCTGCTGCTCTCCACATCCTGCTCATTAATTGGAGACGTAACATCCCGGTTCCGGATATTGTCTGCTTCACAGCTGCCATCATCACTGAAGGTAACATAGCCCTGAGGAGGGACCTGCTCTGTGTGAGAGAGGAAGGGAGAACAAAGATTAGGATGCCAGTTATCAAGGAGGCTCCAGCAGGGAAAGCAACCACTCAGGGATTTGAAAATAATCAAGAGACCATCTTTTCAACCAGCAGGTTTCATCCTGAAAAGCACAGAGAAAAACAGAGAAACACATATGCCTACACCCTCCCTCACACAAACACACATCAGCTGCACTTGATTCAGGTGGCTCCTGAATCCTCTTTATACCCAAACTATCAAAGGGGAAAACCAGCTGGCACCTTGCTCTCTCAAGCAGATATGTCCCATCCCCAGCCAAGCACACCCTGTCAAACCAACCCACCTGCATCTGTGTTAACACACTAGCAGCATCCCACTGTCATTTAAGAAGCTGACAGTATCGTTTTGATACAGCCACTGCCCATGGGATAACACATCTGTATTAAGAGAATGAACCGAACTCTGAACAGGCTTTAAAGTCCTTATTCCTGGTTATTCTAGACAACTAGGTAATGGGCCTGAGAAATACCTGTGGCTGTGACCCACACAAGGAAACAAAACTCCTACTACGGCATCCAGGGGTTGATGTCTGAACTGGGATCATCCTTCTCTTGGCCTATGGCAAAAGGTTTTGTCATCTCATTTTTTGTAGTATTTCAAGCGTTGGGGAAGACAAAACTGATCTAGGAGCAGGGAGTTCACTTTCACAATCAATGATTTCTTGGCCTGTGTGACAGCTTCCTCTGTCATCAGCTTGAGAAGGGTTCTCAAACTTTTGAGCCTCCCTCAAGAAGGGAAGCTGGACTATTCTCAAGAGTCAGGGGAACAGTAATCGAGGCAAGAGCCATGTTTGTTCCATAGAAGTGTTCCACTCATCAGTATTCAGCCCTGACAAAAAGAGTTCAAGGGGTTCTCTTTTTAAACCAGACCCTGGATAGCCCTGTATGATGGTGTTCACTATCCTTGTTTCTGTAGAAACCACACATGAATCCCAAATTAAGAGTAAAAAGTCATTGGCACAGAAACACTGCAAGGCATTTGAGACCTCAAAGCGCTCTCAATTAGGCCACTAACTATTCTCACCATAGCAAGAGTGCTTCTTTCCCCCGATTCCAACTGCTGTTATCTTTGCCAAAGCCTGAGGCCCATCATGGATGCTGGGACCCTTGGTCCTACGAACAGGTCTCTGTCTCTGAGGAGCAGAACATGATTCATCTGACGAACTCAGCTCTTCATATTTTCCTGTAGTTCAAACACAGACTGTTAGCAGCATAGTAATTCATTTACCTACTTTATTTGCTACTGGTCCTGTAAGTAAGAAAGAAAAAAGGAAATGTTAAGAGGGAGGGTGAAACAGTTTAACTAGGTCAGAAAAGGGCCAGAAGACAAAAAAAAATGTTGGACCCCTGCCTCTTCCATCCTCAGAAATGCTGGCGTTTCCAGGACAGACCAGCTAGTACTACCCCATACACACAGTAACATACTTTCAAAGTCTCAAACACCACTCTTCAGGTTCTATCTTAAACTGAACAAGCTAAAAACACCTCTGTTACCTGGACCCCTGCAGAAGACCTTGGGCACTGGGGCTGCATGCAAATCTATCAGCCCCACAATCTTCGTATGTCCATACTTCATGGCCAATGTCCGTGCTGTTGCTCCAGTGTTATCTCTGACATTTGCCTTCACTCCCTACAGAAAAAAATACATATTCAAAATGTACATAGAGGGCACTATATACAAAAATTCAAAGCATCTGAAGAATTGTCTTAGTTTCTCCACCAGAAATACAGGCTCACCTTTGATAGGCAGCTCAAATTCCACTAACATCTCACTGCCGTTCTAGTTACCCTCAGTCTCCCCAGCTCCCGAATGCCAAGCAGCCCGGGTACTGTGGCTCTTGTGCATTGCCACAGGGAACCAGTTTGTTTGATCTGAAAAAATGTTTTGCATTGCTGCCTCCTTCTGGAAGTAAGCTTTAATGGGATATTAAAACCAAATTGCTTAACATTAGAAGACATGCACACTCATCAGCTTTTGGAGGCAGAAGATGCCCACTAGCCCAAGCATGCAAGTCTGTAAACACAATATCAAGATTACCACTTTAGCTGTTTTCTAATTCAGTTGTTATTCAGTTAAACCTCACTCCTATTCGTGCAAGGCCATTGTAAAGGTCAGAGTACTAGCCTTCAGAAAGCTGATACTTTGGTAACAGTCCTAGAAGTCTAGGACTTCAGAGGTGACTGCCATCAAGGATCAAACATAACACTGAGAAGTCTGGTGGCAGACTTGTGGTCCTTCCTTTGAGGGCTGGAACCAAAGGTTTTCAGCTTGACAGAGAACTGTCTGGACACTTACATGGTTGAGAAGGTACTGAACAATGATCTCATGGCCAGAAGCAGCTGCTTCCATCAGAGGCGTATATCCATACACTGGCTCCCTAGAGAGAGAACAGACACATACACATGGCCTGGGATAATCAAAGCTGAAACATCCTGCAGTCATTGCCATACCAGAATATGGCACCTCCAGCCTTGACCCTCAGCTGATCACAAACTCTACCATGTATTGGCCGTTCTACCACACTCTGGTCTACCTCAGTAATCAGTAAAACTCCCAGTGGAGATTCAGTAAGTGTTACTCTATTGGCTGCACAGCAACAGATTCCTCTTCTAGCTGCAGATCTACCTTTCAGTGGCAAAATCAGTTTTGCAGGAGCCAACAAAGCAAGAACCTCTTGTTGACCTCAGGCAATTCAATATGCAAGGCACAGGAATGCACTGCACACTTCAAAAAAACCAAACTGAACTCCGCGTACACAGAAAATTCAATAGAAAGACTCGTAAAGTGCACTTGAGTTCA